CCCCCGCCTGCGGCGACTCGAAATCCCCCCCCGGGCTACCGAGAGCCTTTGAAGGGTTTTACCGGCCAGGGCTGACATCAGCCCCGACGCGCTGAGCCTCTTGTTTGAAGCGGTGTGTGTGGCAGGCGCCATCCGCCCGCTTCCAGCCCGCTCTCCTCAGGAGCTGGGACGGCGCCTTGGCCCTCTGGCACGTCCCCTGCCGAGGCGCGGGGTCACAGCCTGCTCCCCCTCGGTGGAGAAACCGGTCGTCCCAAGAATACACTGAGGGGAAAAAAGTGGAAAATAATCCATACGCTTTTGAAACAAATTACGCCCTTAAAGTGCAACAAACCACGGGGGCGTGTGGCGCTTATTGAAGGATTAAATAACGCAGGCCGGCTGCTGCAAAATTGCAGTTTTTAATTAGCTGTTGAGACACTTTAAGAGTGATACGCCTGAGTGAAAGCGTGACCCGGTCACAGATTTATGCTTTCATACTTGCACGCATCCAGGTAAATGCGCTAATAGGTGAAGCTACTGAGTACCTTGTTCTGTCCTTCTCCATCTTGTTGCTTTACAAAAATAGGTCAAAAACCCCCTGAAGAACGTATAAGCAGACACAGGCGTTGTGGGTTCCGCAGTCCAGGCCTCGGCACGCGGTCGCGGGACAGCCACGTGCGAGCCAGCGGCTGCGCTCGGACTCCCCAGGGGTTACCCCTTGCCATGGTTGTCACCAAAGCCACCGTCAGATCCAGCACAGACTGGGAGAGATACACCCTCTTGGTTGTACGCTGGAGATTAGAAAGGTGATAGTGCCACAGCGTTTGATTTGAAAGCAAAATTCTGAAAGCAAAATCCTTCTTGTGTCGTGGTGGTGGTGAAGATGGTTGCCGTGAGCTGTCAAAGTATCCAGAAACTGGACAAGTGTGAGCGTGGATGCGGTCCTGTCGAGAGATCAGGTTAATGCAGGGACTCGGGGCTCTGCTAAAGATACTGAGGAATTTTTCATTCAAAAACTGTGAATCCCACACTTCCCACTAGCATTAAATTGCTTTGTAAAGCATGACACCGAGATAAATGTGTGTCATTGAAGGCCACTTCAGTCACAGAGATTTGCTGCTATAACCAGCTAAAGTTACTGCTTCAAAACCTGGCAGGTTTACCTTGATCTTAGCTGTGTAATAAAGTTTCTTACTTTCACTAACATTTCAACTCATCTAATTAGCAGATATACACAATTAGACGACCATATCAAGTGAAGATGGTAAATATTTGCAGTATTAATTAGTCTTCCTAGTTCTATTTATAGCCAGTGGGAATTATATCGAGAGATTAAAACATGGCACAGGTCTGACATGTCCTTCTAAAACACTATTTCCTATGCTCACAGCTTCTATCTTTAAATAAGTTGTCAGAACCTTTTGGTACCTGTTAGTATAATTATCTTCAGCAAGGATAATACTGCTAATATTTGCCTTGCCTACTCTGAGAACTTAGACCACTTTAAATAATTGCTTTAGAAATTAGTTTCATTACATTTGCTCAGTTCTTGAACGCGCCTTGTCCATAAACTGGAAACTCCACAAACCAACTGGTTTTGAAAAATAAATCCATGCTTTAGTTTCTTTTAGATTAGCTGAACATTACTTTGGTTGCATTTATTGTTCTCCACCAGCTTTCCCTGCAGTACCACAGCCACGCCTGTTCTGCTCTTCTCTAATCGCTATCAATGGTATCCTCAGAAATCAAAATGTTTTCTTCAAACAAGCCTTTTGCTTTTGGGGTGAATCAAATATCACCAAGCAACACATAATTAAAACTCTTTGTATCCACATGGCAGATGTTTTCAGGAAAAGCCTTGAACCCGTTTTGGCCTCCTGTCCTGTCACACGCACCGAGGTTACATTGCATCACATACATTTTATGAACAAAATACAAATGTTTCTCACTTGGAGCCCTGCTGCGCTGCTTGCCAGATGGCGTGGACAGCTTCTTGTTTATAAGAGGGCATTTGCTCACAGGAACGGGCTTCTCAGTTGCCCGTCTTTGGGGCTTGGGATTTTTTCACTCAAAGGGAAGTCAGAGCATCTCTCTTTTGCTGCTTTTCAAGGATTGTGCACATTCAACTTCCCCATGCTATACCGGAGGTGACATATATTCCATATTCCAAAATTTTCCAACTGCAGGTATGGCATAATGAGTTTTAGGTCGCACCTCGAATTAAACACACCCAAACCGGATTCGAAGCGTTCTGATATAAACTGGGAAATTGATCATCAGGGGAATACAGTCACCAACAACCAGACTTCTTCATCCTGCGCAGCAAGAAATGGGAGTTGCAGGG